AGTCATAAGTCGTAAGGCTCAAATGACTCTGCCAACTCAGTGTCAACATCTAGACAGAAACCATTGGTACTTACTGTGAGCATTAAGGATACAAAGAGTGAGTGGGTATTGGACTCAGGGTTCTCGTTTCACATCACACCTCAGAGAGATGTATTGTTTGACTTTAGAGAGTTCAATGGAGGAAAGGTTCTGATGGCCAATAACACACAGTGTGAAGTCAAGGGAATTGGTAAGATCAAGATTACAAATCCAGATGGTAAGGAGGTTGTTCTCACAGAGGTGTGGTATATGCCACAGATGAGCCGAAATTTGATTTCCTATGGTATGTTAGAGAAGGTAGGTTGTCACTATAAAGGTAAAGGGTTCAAGATTGAATTCTACAAAGGTGGTAGTAAGGTTCTCTCAGGGAACTACGAGGATGGGTTATACTATCTGCAAGGTGTTGTCTCTAGAGCTGAGGTTAACATTGGAAAAGCTGAACTTAACATGACAGATTTGTGGCATTCAAGGCTTGGTCACATGAGTGTTTTGAACATGAACGTTTTGATCAAGAAAGGGTATTTGGAAATTAAAGAAGTTGAAGACTTGAAGTTCTGTGAGAGTTATGTGTTAGGAAAGTCACACAAGCAGAGTTTTGGAAAGGCCAAGCATACAACTAAAAACATTCTTGACTACGTTCACTAGGACTTGTGGGGCTCACCTTCTACTCATGAAAGCCTCGGAGGTTGCAAATACTTCATGATTTTTATTGATGATTACTCAAAAAAGGTTTGGGTTTACTTCCTAAGATCTAAGGATGAAGCTTTTAAAAGATTCAGAGACTGGAAACTAGAAGTTGAGAACCAAACATGAAGGAAACTTAAGTGCTTAAGAACTGGTAATGGTTTGGAGTTTTGCAACCTAAAGTTTGATCAGCTGTGTAAGGAATCATGAACTAAGAGGCATCGAACGTGCACCTATACACCGCAACAGAATGGAGTGTCTGAACGCATGAACAAGACTATCATGGATAAGGTGAGGACTATGTTACCAGAAACCGTTTTGGGGTCTGAGTTTTGGGCAGAAGCTTCGTCCACGGCAGTATACTTGATCAACATGACCCCAGGATTGAGTATTGATTTTGAGCTACCAGAAGAGAGGTGGACAGGAGGTAAAGTTGATTTGTCAAACTTGAGAAGGTTTGGTTGTTCCGCATTTGTTCATCGTGTTCAAGAGAAGACAAGCCCCAGACTTATTAAAGGTGTTGTTTATTGGCTATGCATTCGGGGTTAAAGGTTATAGAGTGTGGATTCAGGATGAAGGAAAGTGTACAACGAGTCGAAATGTTGTGTTTCATGAACAAGAAGTGTACATGGATACCCTAAGTGATTCAGTCTCTAATGGAAACTCCATGGACTCAGCTAAGGTGGACAGAAAAGGAAAAGGCAAGCATGTGAGTTTCAGTGATGATCTAATAAAAGAACCTACAGTTAATGGTTTTGAAACCGGGGAAACTTCAGGTTTAGGTGGAGATCATTCTTCTGAGTCAAGTTCAGAAACCTCAGATGGTGGGCTAGAATCTACATATGATTTTGAGTCTGATCAGGAAGATGGTGGCATTGTGGTTAGTTCTGGTAATAGTTCATTGGATGGTTACATGTTGGCTCGTGACAGAAGCAGAAGGCAGAATGTGAGGCCACCGTCGTCACGGTTTGATGGTGCTAATCTGGTTGCGTATGCGTTAAGTGCTGCAGAAGAGTTGGAAATTGATGAACCTAAGACTTTTGCGGAAGCTATGAAGAGTCGAGAAAAAAAGTTTTGGGAGGCTGCTGCTAAAGAAGAGTTTATGTCTTTGGAAAAGAATAGAACTTGGGATTTGATTGAAAGACCTAAAGATCATAAACCAGTGGGTTGCAGATGGATCTTCAAGCTTAAGCCTGGTATTCCACGAGTAGAAGACAGAAGATTCAAAGGAAAAGTAGTAGCTAAGGGCTATTCCCAGAAGGAAGGAGTTGATTACAACGAGATTTTTTCTCCAGTTGTGAAGCATGTATCAATTCGACTTATTCTGTCTCTAGTAGTTCATCGGGATTTTTTGAATTGGAGCAGATGAATGTTGAAACGGCTTTCTTACATGGTGATCTAGAAGAGAGGATTCTTATGGAACAGCTAGAAGGTTTCGTGAATAAAGGAGATGAAAATAAAGTTTGTCTTCTCAGGAAATCTCTATATGGTTTAAAGCAATCTCCGAGGCAGTGGAATCTACGGTTTGATGGGTTCATGAAGAAGCAAAGTTTTATCAGAAGTGAATTTGATTCATGTGTGTACATGAAAGATGTGAGTTCTGATAAAGCTATCTACTTGTTATTATACCTGGATGACATGCTTATAGCATCAGGAAGTAAGTCTGCTATAAGGCTCTAAAAGATAGTTTGAGTTCTGAGTTCGAGATGAAGGACCTAGGGGGTGCATCTAGAATTCTCGGGATGGATATTACTTGGGATAGACAGAAGGGTGTTCTAAAGCTATCACAAGCTAAGTATCTTGAGAAGGTACTAAAGACTCTTGGGATGTAGCTAAGTTAGTGATTACTCATACTGCTTCGCATTTTAAACTAAAGAGCTTACATCCTAAAGATAGAGCTGAAGAATATGAGCATATGAAAGATGTTCCATATGCGAGTGTTGTTGGGAGTCTGATGTATTCTATGATAGCGTCAAGGCCTGATATAGGTTTTGCAGTGGGTTTGATTAGTCGTTTGTCACATCCGAGCAGAGATCATTGGGAGGCTGTTAAGTGGGTTTTGAGATATGTGGCAGGGGCTTATGAGAAGTGTTTAATTTTTGAGAAGGCTACAGAGTTCAGAGTTGAGGGGTTTTCAGATTCTGACTATGCTACGGATCTTGATAAGAGAAGGTCAGTCTCCAGAATTGTGTTTCAAGTGGGTGGAAATACTGTATCTTGGAAGTCAGGGTTACAGTCAGTGGCAGCGTTGTCCACCACTGAAGCTGAGTTTATGGCTATGACTTTGGCAGTAAAGGAAGCAATTTGGCTGAGAGGTTTTATTACTGAGCTAGGATGTTCACAAGACAATGTAAAGATACACTGTGACTCACAAAGTGCAATTTCTTTATCTAAAAATGCAGTTCATCATGAAAGGACAAAGCACATGGATACTCAGTTCAACTTTATCAGGGATATTGTTTCTAAAGGAGTTGTCAACCTAGAAAAGATTCATACTTCTAAGAACCCAGCAGATCTTCTAAATAAGTGTGTACCTGGCACGAAGTTTCAGCTCTGCTGTGAGGTTCTTAAGATTTAATTTGCTGAAATGACTACCGGCTCGGGGTAACTCCATAAGGCATCTCAGATGTGCAGTAACAAGAAGGGGTGTTAATATTTTCATCTAAAGAAGTAAATGTATATACTCAAGAACTAGAGGAGTTACCCGTAGAGAGAGAGTGAGATCCTCTCGGTTGGGTTTCAGGTGGAGTTGGTTCGATGATGGTTTGTGGTGGTTGATTTCTGAGTCATCAGATCTGCAAGCTCAGAGTCATCAGATCTGCAAGCTCAGAGTCATCAGATCTGCAAGCTCAGAGTCAACAGAAAGAAGCTTTGTGGTTAGAATTTTGTTGAAAAACTACAAAGGGTCTACATATCTCAAGAAGGGTTTATATCGAAAAAGATTCATTACCTTGAGATACATGAAGTCGAGGAGAAAGTCCTCGGTGATGTCTTCGAGCTCGAGATATGTACATGCAAGAGTTAACAAGGCGTGTTAGCGTAGAGATCGAAGAGTCTGGGGTAAAAGGAAGCTGTAGAGACCTAGAAGGGTCTGAGGTGCTTACCGGAAAGAAGAAGGTATAGCTGCATTGGAGATAGAGTCTCGGTCTTCGGTGTTTTTCCGGTGAAATGATCTGGGATAACAGAGGGTTTATCGGCAGTGACAATAGAGAGAAAGGACAAGAGGATTATAGAGTTTGTTCTCGCGGTATGTCTGAAACAAAGGAGGTGGAGATTTGTGGATCAGGCTTTTGGTTTACGGACTTATTCGGTATTGGGCAAAGACGCTGTGGGCCTAATATCAGGAGACTAACTGTGGTGAAGCCCATTAGTCAAACTCAGCTGCTGCTTTCAGTTAGGCCGTTATAACGACCTCCAGCTCAGCATCTTCTTCATAAGATCGAATCTGAAAAGAATAGATCAGTGATACAGAGAGAAAGCGATCACGAGAGAGATTCAGAGAAGGAGAAGAGTTCTACCTAGTGTGATTGATCGGAGACTGGAGTCGGAGATACTCCGGTGATATCATACAGAGGTTCCGATTACCTGTGGTGTATTTCGGAGGTAATCTCGCCGTGTCTTTCAGCTGTTAAGATTACGGTTACCGGAACTTTGTATATCTCGAATCTAGTGATTGTTGAGGGCAAAGCTCCCTCCCCAGTGAGTAGGAAACGAACACCGAGTGACCTAATCTTGTGTTCTCCTTTATTGTTGTTAAAACCTACAAACAAAATCACCGATCTCATAAGAACTTGAATCTTTAAGAAGCAATCAACAAAGAAATATTGAATCTAAGTGAAATTGATCAACAACCGGTATCTCTCTTCTTTTCTAACCATCTGTGTGATCTTTGGATCATAGCTTTGTAAACTTTAATATTGTCTTTAATTTATTAAAGTCTTTTAGAAAAAAAATAGTCGTGTTTTACATATAACAAAGTACGTAACCAAAAAACACCATCTAGTCGTGTTTATGCTCAACAAACAAAACAGTATAGACACAAATTGATAATATGGAACACACAATGTTAAATCTGTGTTGATGGTGAATCTCAAATAGGCGTTGATGTTGGTTTCTCCTGATTTCTGATGTTTGGCCTCACTAAATCGACACGGGATCTGTATGTTTATGATTTGGTAAGCAAAACAAATTTTATTATAAACTCGTTACAAGCGAATTACAATAGCATTTTGTGGTAACTTGAAGAAACATCACGTTGAATACACTGATAAAATGTCCACACACACACACACACACACACACACACACACACACACACACACACACACACACACGCACACACACACACACATCAAATCCGAAGGAAGAAAGAACAAATACATATTAGTAGCACTCGTAGAGTTTAATATCCAATTTGAGTCGGAAATACTTATTGCCTTGAATGAGGTCAGTCGTGAACGTAACAATCCCACGAGTCATGAGAAAATCACCAGTGCCACCAACAATCGCTAGGTCTCTGGTCGGCTCCATGATCGGATTCGCATCCATTATGGTCAGTGTCCCTTTGTGTTGTGTCGAGTTGAACACCAATGTGAAAGCCATCCACGCGTTGTAAGCTGTCTTCATGTTGTAGAAGAAGAAGCCTTGTGCACGAGCCACCGGTTTGGAGAGGTAGTTCTCGTCCATTGTCACAGGGTTATCAAAGATTACATATTTCCCAAAACTGAAGTCCCCTAGCCCTAAAGGGTTTATGATTGTCGCTGATGTTGCATTAGCCACGTTATCACTATCGTAGGCAATGTTATGGAGATGAAAGACGAAATGTTTGCATGGTTTTTGCAGGTTGATTGATTTTCGGACCGATAAGACAGTATCAGAAAGGAGTAAAACGAATAAGAAGAAAGACAATAGGGTTTTGAATATTTGTTTCGAGACTTGATTTTCCATGAGTCTAGTGTTATGTAAAGATAAGTAATGGTGTAGGATTTGTGAATACTAAGAGGGCTACTGAGACCTTATTTATATACAAAACTCATATAGTTGGTTGATTGATATATATTCGTCTCCCAGTTATATCCCAAAACCCCTAGATTATAATTTAAAGGCATCGTGTGGGAAATTCATTATATTATCCCAACTACTAACTATTTTTCAATAAAATAAACTAAAGGGATACATTCAGCCAAGCATAGCTCAGCCTTTTTAAAAAACACATGAGAAACACTTGCCTTATGCATTGTGTAGTAGTCTGTCTAGTCACAAGCCCCACCACTATAACTTAATGTGGAGTAGTCACAAGGCCCACCACTATAACTTATTGAAATTGCGAAGATATACATATATTTTTTTTTTGCTTCTTACAACAAAAGAAACTTAAATCTTAAGACAAGTTAAACAGGAAGCTCCATCAACGTGGACTACATACGACGAGTGTACTCGTGCATTGTATTCGAGTCTATCCGTCTTAGTATTTGTAGTGTATGTATATGTGATTGTAAAGGTGTTGATATATCTTTTACATTTATGAAACTCCTCCAAATGAATAAAAAAAACAGACTAAATAGTTCAGAGTTTTCATACACTACTTTCACTAATTCGAAACATGTGTTGAATAACTTAAATCTTGTTTAATAACATGTAAATACTGATATAAAGCAAAATATCAAACCAAAACTGGAATATATTTAATTTTCTATTTGATAAACCAAAGAAGAAGAAATCGAAATACAAATACAAAATATCCGACAGAAATTTGAATTGAACAATCATAAATATGAAAGGTCAGTGGTTAAAATCAGACGACTTTAATCTTGATGTTCCTTTTAGGGTTACTTTAAACAAATAAAACGTGCACAAAAGAAAAACAAAAAAAAATTCATTTCCTTTTAGGAATATATGAAGTAACATTCACAACACTCAGCAATTCTTCGGTTGATTAAAAAAATAACAAACAGACAAAGTAGAAAGCTTCATTATTGTAGGTATGCCAGATATGTAATACTTAAAAAGTATGTATTTTAATCTTGGTGTAGATACGACATCTTCAAAAGTGATTCCCTCTATTGCTTTACATGTAAGCTGGTGGCGGGTAATCCGTATTGAGCTAAAAACCATATGAAAAAAATTTATTTAAGTTGGTTAAAATGAACGACAAAAATATGTATTTGTTAAGTTTTCTCGGTTTTGAGTGTAAGATTTAGTAATTTAACTAGAGTTTGACCCGCGAAATTAGTTTTTACCTTTTTATAAATTATTTAATAACATTTTCAAATATATATATATAGGTTATTTAGATATTTTTAGAATTCTATGAAGCTATCCAGAACCGAAAGAATTCGATATGACTCGTCCGAAAATTTATATATCCGAACGAAGTATAATTTTAAAATTCAAAAAACTGATACCCAAAAAACCTATATGTACTCGAACGTGTACATGAATGTCATGTTTAACTGATTATGTAATTGTTTGTTAACCGGTTTAAATTCTTGTACTAATAGAATAATTTCATTCAAACATATGAAATTATTGAGATAACACGTAAAATAAATGACGTTCAGTTATTATCGTAAATACAATTAATGAAATCGTTTGAAAGAGTAAAACAAAGAATGTAAATAATATAATAAAAGTTTTTTTTTAAAAGGTTATGTTTTGTACTTTTATAAGAAATGCTATCATATTATTTGGAAAGAATCAATTAATAAAAGAGTTAAGATGAGTGAAAATACAAAAACAAAATGTAATAAATTTGTTGAAAATAAGTTTAGTTCTATTTTATACTTCAGTTTTCATAATGTAGATGCATGTATATATGAAAAATATTGTAGATAGAATGAAGAAAAATGAACTTTAGACTTGCAATGGATTCTCGATCAAGGTGAAGAAGCCTCAAAGACTATAAAGTAGAGATTTGTTGATGAAAATAATATAGATTTGCTGATGAAAATAGTAGAGAAATCATATTTAAAAGTGAACTTGGGAAATACAGTTTTGAAATTCTCTCTAGGCGATTTCACAGCCTCCCTTTTGGAAACTTGAAGTTTTCAATTCTAAAAAAATATATTCTCTTTGTTTCAGTAGAGCTACATTATAGGTATTTTTCTTTGGTCTCCTGTGCTTTTTTGGAGACTCTTGCTCCTCTTCCCCTCTTAAAATTTTTTTTTTCTTAACTTCAGAAAATCTTTCTGAAACTTCTCTTTTGCCTTACCATAATGATAATCTCATGATTTCCAAAAAAGGTGTCTTCGAATATTGAAAATTTAATGGTGTTTCTCAATCAACAATAACTAGGATATGAAGACCAAAGAATAAGGAAGTCTCAGTCGTGTCTACTGCCCGAGTCTTTGAGAGTAGTTAAATAAATATTGTTGAGATCAAATAGGGTCTCCTGAATGTTAAAGAAGTTGTTCTGAGTTTTTTATTATCATAAGGTATATAAGGCCATCTCGTTGTAAACCTCCGTTCTACAGAGGCTTTTGAATTATTCAGTAAAAAGGAGTTTTTCAATTTGTTTGTGTTCTTGATCCATCTTTAACAAGTTGTATTAGAGCCTGAAATCCTAACATGTGATGTAAGAAGATATGACTGAAAAAAAGTTCAGCATACCAAAGTTTGATTGTGATTATGAGCATTAGGTAATGTTCATGAAGAATTTGTTGAGATCTAAAGAACGGTGGGAGCTTGTGGAAACCGGCATCACACAAACTGAAAGGAATGTGATCTTGACTGGAGCACAATGAACAAAAGTGTCAGAGCAGAAGCTCAAGGATATAAAAGTTAAGAATTACTTTTTTCCATCAATTGACAAGGTGATACTAAAGACAATTGTGAAGAAGGAGACATCAAAAGACTTTTGGGATTCGATGAAGAACAAGTAAAAGGAAACAAGAGAGTCTAGAGCTTTCAATTGCAGAGAGTTAGAAAAATATTTTGAAGTGTAGGAGATGAGAGAAGGAGACACGATAACATAGTACTTTTTAATAGTTATGGTGGTGGCAAATGATACGAGAAACCTAGAAGATGATATTCCAGATGCGAAGGTACTTGAAAAGATTCCAAGGACGTTGCTTGCAAAGTGCACATATGTGGTGTGTGCTTTTGAAAAGTCCAAGGACATCACTGAATTAACAGTCGATGAACTACAGAGATCTTTGCTCGTGCATGAGCAGAACTTGAGAAGGCATACTGGAGATGAGCAAGTTCTAAAGATGGAAGAAGGAAGAGGTTGTGGAGGTTACTATCAAGGAAGAGGCTCCTACTGTAGTGGAAGAGGAGGACAAGAAAGAGGCAGCACCAGTTTCAACAAAGACAACATTGAATGCTACAAGTTTCACAAATTGGACAGTGTAAGAATGAGTGTCCTACATGGGAAATAAGCGCAAAGTATGTGAGCGGGAGGAGGATATGTTGCTGATGGCTCATAGTGATCTTCTGAAACATGGCAAACATGTCTGGTACCTGGACTTCAGATGCAACAATCACATGTGTGGTATAAAGGAGTGGTTCACAGACTTTGATGACATCTTTCAATAACATGTCAAGCTTGGAGATGGCCGTAAGACGAAAATAGAAAGAAAGGAAAATCTCAGGCTGGAGACCAATAGTACATCATTAGTGATTACCTATGTGTACTACGTACCATGACTGAAGAATAACCTGGTGAGTGTTGGTCAGCTGCAACAAAGAGGTCTAAGAATTGTAATTGATGATGATGTAAGTGAATTGTGGCACAAACAACAGAGAAGAGTGATCATGAGATCGATGATGTAGAGAAACATAATGTTCATTAATTTTTATAGCGAAAACAAAGGATGTAAGAGAAGAATCAGGAGCCATCAACATGCTAAGTGCCATTGAAGGTACTGAAGAGATTTTGGCACATGATATTTGTTCATTTAATCCATGATCACTTGGCCAATATGGCTGACAAAGAAATAGTAAACAGGCAGCCAAACTCACTTAAAATGGAAGTGTATGTGAGATATGTAGGAAGGGAAATAAATTCAGTCTAAGATACCAATGCAAGGAAAGTGGAAGGCAAATAGGTGTCTTAAAATTGTTCATACTAACATTTGTAGTCCAATCTCACCCACTTATGAAAGTGGAAAGAGGTACATAATCAACTTCATAGATGATTATATAAATGTTGGACCTCTTTCTTGGTTGAAAAATCATAGGCTTTTAAGGCATTCAAGGATTTCATAACTGCCGCTGAAAGAGAAGTTGAGGAGCTGCTTATGTGTTTCAGATCAAACATAGAAGGTGAATACAAGTACAAGATATTTCAGGAGTGTTGCACAGAGCATGGAATCAAGAGACAGCTCACTGTAGCATACACCCCACATCAGAACGGGGTAGCTGAGAGGAAGAATAGAAGTCTGATAATATGGTTAGGTGCATGCTATTTAGTATGAGAGTGCCTCTCAGGTTCTGGTCAGAAGCAGCACCTTATGCTATGAATATCTTAAATCGAAGTCCAACCATAATCCCTGGAAATATTACTCCAGCTGAGAAGGGGAGCAAGGTGAAGCCATCAGTTGATAACCTACACATTTATGGTTGTGTGGTGAGTCAAACTAGATGAGAAGAGCATCAAATGCATAATGTTTGGTGTCAGCAAGGAATCAAAAGCATATAGTTTGTATGATCCTGAAAGGAAAAGGATCTTGATCAGTAACGACGTGAGGTTTGATGAGGGAAAGCGGAGGAACTGGGAAGAGAATGTTGAAGACAATCATTTTGTTGAAAAAGTGAAGAAGAAGTACAAACTAATCTGATAAATGCAAAGGAAAGAAACAATGGAGAAGAAGAGGAGATGATCAGGTTGAGAAGATGCAGAAGGAAAAGAGGAAACCACATCACCTCTCGACGTGACTGAAAATACCATCTCAACACAAGAAGCAAGCGAAGACTCTCAGAGAACTAGAACCGGTAGAAGCAAGCAAAGGCATGTGTGGATGAGAGATTATGAGATGGTGTTGTTCATGGAAGGAGAA